TTTGTCTCGGGGGCCTTCCCTGAGCGGGGAGCGCGGCGCCGCCTCCAGTATTGCGGGGCGTCCAGGTGGCGCGGGCGCTGGCCTCACACTTCGCGGCGGAAAACCGGCAACTCGGTCTCAACAGAGACAGACACGGAAGGGCAGCCACTCCGACCTACAGGCTCGTGATCCACGCGGCTCCGGGATCCGGGGCCTGCAGCCACCTGGAGTCGAATCACACACCGGAATCTTCGGCGCCTCCATGTGCCCGCCTCGCAGAGAGGCTTGTGGGCTCCCCAGTGTGTTTCCCGCGCGGCTCAGGGCCTAAGAACCGCTCCTACTTTCCTGGTAATGGCGGGGGGGGTGGGCAGGGGCTCCGGTCTGTCCGAAACCTAAATCCCGGGGGTTTGCTTTGTTCGCAGAGCGAGGCTGGCTGTCCCCGCTCTGCTCTGGATCGGAGCCATCGACCGCGCCGGGTTTCCGGCTGCATTAGTATCCACAGAACCCGGGCTGCCGGGACCACCTTCGGTCCGCTGCACAGTGGCTTTAAATACCCTCGCTGCGTTTATGCAGATCCGAGTGGAGTAGAACGGAGTGGATGATCAGGGCCAAATACACAATTTATGTGGATGGTATACGCTTACAAACACACAACAGCAGGATTATTTACTATCTGAATTATCCAGATAAGTCTCCCCTTTTCTTGCTCCGGAAGACCCAGTAGAGACACAGGATGCTTTGTCTGAAAGTCAGTGGAGTAAATTGTAGTTTGAGGCCTTAAACCAGACAAATAGTTGCAAAATAGATGCAATCTTTGCCCAGATCAAGAGCTCAAGCGGTGTGCCCTAAATATTTGAGTTGTGTCTCAACCATGACCTTCTCTTTGGCCAGGAGACCCAAGGACTTGTTTTTCAGCTATTGGGAGGAGATTATAGTGTCTTCCCTTCACTGACAGCTCCCCCAGTTATTGAGTCTGGGGGAGGGGGGCCTGCGTAGACACCACCCAACAAGATCTATTCTCTCTCAGATCTGCAGTATCGCAGAATAAATCGAGGGAATAAATTAAGGGCCAGTTATTCCCGGCCTCCCTAAATTCCTTCCCTCCTTTTTAGCCAGAAATGTCTTCACTGTTAACTTCCTGTATAGATGTGTCCCTGGATTCATTGGGATTCAGATCCTCCTCCCCGCTTTATGCAGATCCAGGCACAGCCACCCAGTCCCTCCCCCAGCTCATGGCTGCCAGACACTATCTTGTTCCCAGCTTTGCCCCCACTCTGTAGGGCTTTTGTGTGAGTACCCTCAAAGCTTGGGTCATCTTCTTCCTGCCTGAACCCCTCAGCTATACAAGACAGCTGGGATTAGGGGCAAAGGGAGATGAGGTTTGGTTTAAATTTACCAGTTTTACTAGTTGCAGGAGAAAGGAAAGGAAGAGCGACAAAGTTTTCAGGGCAGAAGGCGTGGTTTGCAGGCTGGGCTTGGGTGGGGGCCCCTGCTATTCCGGAGAGGGCCCGGGAGGGTGGAGGGGGAATTTGGAGGAGACTCTATGATTGGAGCCAGGCTGTGAAAAAGAGAGACTCAGGGATCAGATGCTTAAGGGCAGAGGCATAGGGAGGGCGTTCCACCCACGAGGAAGGGGTGAGGTGGCCGGTGCAAAGGGCTCATGCACTCAGCTGGAACCCAGACTCTGGCCTGGACCTGGGCCTCTCTCTGGCATGGCCCAGAGGAGGTCACTGGCCATCAGAGATGAAGCCTATTTCTCCAGCTTCAAGTGGTCTTTAGTCCCCTGCCCAGTCTTCTTGCAGTGCACAGCATATACTCCCAGAGCAAAGCCATGGAGTCAGGGCCTTGGGGTTGAAGTGTGGACCCACCAAACCCTACCCCAGATCCCACTCTCATCATCCCAGCTCCAACCTGTTTGCACCCCTACCCTGGTTTTGCTTTGTGGAGATCCTGCAGCTCAGACTTTCTCTTCCCAGCCCTGCAGGTAGGTAGTCTCAGCCTCCTCCAAGCTGTTCACATTATTTTTACAGCCCACGACTTCTCAGATACTCCTCTCCTCCTCCCCAGTCTATGGTCTCCCAATTTTCTCTCTGCCAGTAATTGCTTAGGACTAGAGATGGCAGCTCATCAACAGATCTTGATTGCTCATATATTTTTGTTGCCCCTGAAACTGCTCTTCCTTTATTATAATAATTATTATTTTTATTATTCACCTGAGCTGGAGAAAATAAAGTGGAAAACAGCTAGGAGGCTGAGGATCCCATTCTTTCTGGGCAGAGGAGACAATGTGGGGGGAATCAGTTTAATTTTTTTTCTTAAAAAAATCACATCATCATACAGTCATGTTTTAATTAGTATTATTAATATTAATATGATGGAGTAACTCTGTACAAGGACTATATAAAGGGGAAAACGTGCTAAAGACAGCTGGTTGAATAGGAGGGCGCACTACAGAGAGCTGGGGAGGGAGAGAAGGGAGGTCATCTACCCACAGGGACTACACAAGGTACTAGCAACAGACACAGAGAACAGGACACAGATTGACAGAGAAGTTCACAGAAGTCAAGTTTAAAGCAACAGGAAGAGAATATTGCATATCTTTGTCCCTCCACCCTTTGGGAGTCTTCTGGTCTCTCTTCTTTCTCTGTTAGGCCGTGGGAGTCAGGCTGGAGTGGTGCAGATGGATTCCAGCACCCCAAGCCCGTGAGGTCACAGGAGGGGCTGCATTAAGAGGTACATGGGTGACCAGGCAAAGGGGAGAGTGCTTCAGACCCAGCTCTAGCAGATGGCTGGAATGGCAGTGATTGCTGCAAACTTGCACATCAGTGGAACAAGTTTATGTGGCTGGGAAGTGTGTCAGGTGCCCAATGGAGGATGCGAGCATGTGATTATATGGCCACTCTACAGGGTTGTATCTGGGGATATGAAGCTGCCTGCTTGCAAGTACAGTCAGGAGAGTGGGTTGGGCCCACTGGTGTGCTGGGCTCAGCTGTCTCTAGAAGTTTGCCTCTGCACACTCCTGTACAGGGACTTGAAGTTGTGTGCTGGTGGGAGAATGGGGGGGGCGGTGGGGGCTCTATGGATTACCTTTCAAGGGTGTATTAGGGGAGACTCTTCCCAGGCAGGAAGAACTCCCAGCTAGCAGGCCAGTTCCACACTTCCCAAGCTGAGTTGAACTCCCATCAGTCCCTTGCTCTTGGCAAGGGTGGGTGGATGGGAGGATGGGGGACTCTTACCCAGAGGGATAAAAAAAAAAAAAAAGGCATATGGGAAGGCAGGCAAGTTCCTTCACTACTTCTCTCTCCTAAGCCAGGCTGGGGGGTAGGGCTGGGGGCGGGCTGGGGCCTGATAGGGGCTGTGAATAAAAGGCCCTCCGCTTAAGAAGCCACTCTCTGGCTTCCAACAGGTCCTGGAGATGTACTCCTCCCTCTGCTCTGGTCCTTGTACTCCCGAGGCTTGAAGCCCAGAGGCAGAGGCAGTGGATCCTGAGACAAAGGGCCAAGTTGGGGCGAGGGTGGAGTGGGAGACAGAAAGGAGTTGGGTGGGAGGCTGCAGTGCCTCCTCCTTCATTGTCACCAGCCTGGGAAACCCGGACTGAGCAGGGCCACTGTGGCCAGTAGCCCCTCTAGGGGCGGATTCTCCTCCTGCCTCGTAAATTATGCCAGTCCAGCCTCTAGCCGGCCGTGACCATGAACGCCAGCGGGAAAGGGAGAATTAGCTCCGGCAGCCAGAAACTCTTCCGCCCGACAATCAATGCCATGCTCACAGCCCCTTTCACAGCCTCTTGGATTTCCCTGACGGCCAGGTGGGGGTCCCTAGAGTGGCTATTGAACCTGAGGCTGCATCTGCTTAGCCCTCAATTCCTGGCTTGCGGTTCTGGTCCTTCTGGTCCGCAGCTACCTAGGGGGCAGGAAGAGAGGATGGCAGCACACCCACGAGCGAGAAGGGGCTGGCAGAAGGCTTGGGAGAGGGCTGGGGACCAGGAGATGCTTGGACAGCCTGCCCTAGAGAGGACACAAGGCTGTGATCGCCTTGTCTGCAGCCAGTCTGCCAACCGTTCATGCTTCTGCCTGCTCTGCCATCCAGGCTGGGAGGACGCAGACACTCTGGACATGGGCATTGCTGACCATTCTGTCCTCCCAAACTGAACTTCCTCCTGGATTCCCCCACTTCCTCCTGCCCTCCCAGAGCTACCCTGTCCCCTTCTACTCTCTCTGATGCCCTCCACTCTTGCTCCTCCTGTCAGCGGCTCCTAATCCCAGCAGCGAATTCTGGGAGACTTTGTTCCACTGTCCCCACCCTTGCCTACTCCTGCAGGCAGACTTCAGATCACCGAAGGGAAGTGGTGGGAGCAGGCGCCCGGGTCCTCAGACTCAGTCTGCCTCAAACCAACCCTTCCCCGGTGCCTCAGCTTGCCTGTCTCTATCCCTGGCCTGCAGCTGTGGGCTTTCTGTCTCCCTGGCTGGGTTCTTCCCTTCTCCCTGGGGCCTGGCAGGACCTGCTGGGGGCGGTGTGAGAGGGAAACACGAAGAAAACAGACAAGAGGACGTCCAGAGAGGGCCTGCCAGAGACTTCTGGCATCCTAAGCGGGGAGCCTGTGTCCCAGGCAGCGCCCCCTCTTGCTCTCTGCCAGAGACGGGCTCAGTCTGGGGCTGGCTCCCTTGTCTTGCCCCCTAAAAGAAAGAGAGAGCTTGCTCCCTCAACAGAAGTCTTTTCTTTTTCATTCTCCGGTTCTGAAACCAGATCTTGACCTGCTGGTCACTAAGATTCAAGCGGTCTGAGAGTTCCCTCCGGCGCTGCCGTGTGATGAACTCGTTCACGAGAAATTCGCCCTCCAGCTCCGCCAGCTGCAACTTCGAATAGGGCTTGCGCTTCTTCCGTGAGCGGCTGTGGATCGGGTACCAGGGCGTGCCTGGGTGGAGATGAACCAGGAACGAGGGTTGGCCAGAAGACCCAGAGGTGACAGGCTCAGAGCCCTTGCTCCTTCCCTAGTCCTCTTCACCTTGGCCTCATGCCCAACCCCAAGCCCTTCCTCTCCTGACTCCTCTCTTCTACGAAGACCCCACCCCTACCAACTCCCATCCTTCATCCTCCTCCTTTTCCTCTTTCACTTCTTTTCCTTGTTTCCCCAACTCTACCTATCACTGCAGTATCCCTGACCCTTCTATGTTCCTCTTCCCTCCCTTCTCCCCAGACCTCTTCTCCAGGGTTTCCTGGACCCTTCCTCTCACATCTTCCGGGATGGGGTCCCTGATCAGCTAGAACAGACATGAGCAAGTGTCGAGAGTTAAACGTCTCCACTGGCGAAAACATGCAGGTAATGGAGGCTGTGGGGAAGCGGAGCTAGAGGCTCTTGGGGAGCAGGGACCAAGCTCTGGGCCTCACCTTCCCACCCCCGAGGCCTGGGGAAGGCTCGGTCCAGAATTTCCTTCTCCGGAGCTCCCTGCCCCCTCCAGCCTCGGGCTGATGCCGAAGGGAATCTCTTCAGTTCTTTTATGGGGATATTTACATGTTTATAGGGCTCCCCAACCCCCACTTCTTTTTAAAAGAAGTGCTTCCTCACCACACATTCTGTCACCCCAGGCGGCCCCAGCTCGGTCCTACCCCGCCCGCCCCGTCAGACGTCCCGCCCTGAGCGCGTCTCCGGAG